GTGGGGCACGGAGACTTCCAGATGAGCCAGGTGGATGCCCCCCCTGACCCCCTCTCTTTGAACCCCCGAGTGGTTAAAGGACAGAAGAGGAGTCAGGACATGGAGGTACAGGTATGTGGGAGGTCAGGGCTTTACTGGGCCCATTAGAACATGGTGGTTTTAAATTTTCATCAGGAAAATACAACGGTCTGTGTGGTCAAGGAGAGGGGAAAGGGCTTGTATCAGAGACAGCAGGCCACTGAGCTGAGGTTCCTTACCCACAGCGTGTAACGAACGTTACGTTGCGACACAACGAATGGGATACTGAAGGGAGTTTTGCTTCAGACTGATTGGGAGCTTGAGTTAGCTGTATTCACAGCTGGGAACTCTGATCTTGCCCTTCAGGATGACTCTGTAAATGGCACCGATGAGATGGAGGAAGATGTTAAGGTCCTGATGAAGGCAGATCCAAATAAGCAGGAGTCTTTGCAGTCAGAAGTGGTTCCTGATCCTATGGAAGGGGAGCAGACATGGCCTACTGAAGAAGAACTGCAAGAAGCAGAGGGTGAGCAGCAGCAATATTTCTGTACTTTTTCCTTGTCCCTTTCAAGAGAGTTGTTAGCAACCCTCTGTCACCGGGATGGCTGAGGATGGTTGTGAAGAAACATGCTGGTTGGGAGCCCAGGGCTTCCATTCCTAGTCCCATCACCCAAGTACCAGGCTGCGTGGTTTGCCTGGCAGTTAGCAGGGTTACATTTTAGCTGCCTTTTCTGGGCCCTGACAAATTCTGTGCTGGGAAACGGCGATTCTGGTGTAAATGTTGCTGAGGGAAAGAATTGTTCCTGTATTAACCATTGGTGGGAATCCTACAGCTTCTCTGAAGGCAAACAGGAAGGTGGTGAAGGTCCCCAAAGGCACATCCAAGTACCAGGCTTCCTGGATTGTGGATGATGGAGAAGAAGTCAGTGAGAAGGATGATGATGACGACGAAGATGACGAGTTTGATGATGATATGATGGAAGAGGCAGTTTCCCAGGTACCTCCAAGAGCTGATACTGCACGTGGTCTCTTGGGTGTTACTGCATATTTTAGGACAGTCCTGTCCTTATGACTTGCTCCATGCAAGGGTACCACACAGAGCCAGGACTTCCCTGGATTTCCAATGTTAAATCTCTTGCCTGTATCCTGTTGTTTTTTTGGCCTGTTAGATACCAAAACGAGGGACTGTGGTGGAGCTCGGGTCACGAGTCACACAGTGCGAGCACACGCAGGGTTTGCAGGGCTGCATGGGCATCAACAGAGCACGTGTGCTCACGGGCTGTGTGCTGTCCTGTGTGTCAGGAGGGGGAAAGCAGCGAGGAGGAAGAGGAACCTGCAGAGGAAGAGTGCGAGACTATGACCGTTTCCGAGTGCTTGCGGGATGACCAGTACGATGAGAAGGTGGAGGAAGATGAAGAGATGCTGGAGAGATACAAACAGGAGAGGATGGATGAAATGTTTCCGGATGAGGTGGACACGCCACGTGACGTACCTGCCAGAGTCCGGTAAGAAACAGGAGGCTTTGCTGGGAGAGGAGCTGGAAGGTGCCTTTCTGGGTAGCTTGGTGAGACAGGGCGGGAAGCCTGTGATGTCTTAGCCGTGGTGTCTGAACCTGGCTGAAGGACTCTTGTGAAGACTCACTCGTAGGCTCTGAGGCTTCCAGGGGAGGCGCTAGTTGGGGGGCAGTGGGTGGGCCTGGGCAGCTCCCTGCATCAGGGAGAGCTGGGTCCTGATGTGGGAGAGGGAGGAGGATGGCAGAGCGAGGGCAGGTTGTTTGGGGACTTGGCTGCTGTTTCTGGCTCTTTCTGCACGAAGATCTTTTCTGAGAGGTAACGTTGGCTTTGCTCCCTTTGCCCTCTGAAGGTGCGAGTCCCTGCAGGCCACAGAAGATGCTGCACAGTAGTTCCTTTCCTGTTATCTGTTCTTTAGGTTCCAGAAGTACAGGGGGCTGAAGAGCTTCCGGACGTCTCCATGGGACCCCAAAGAGAATCTCCCAAGGGATTACGCCAGGATTTTCCAGTTCCAGGACTTCTCCCGAACCAGAAAGAACCTCTTCCGGCAAATAGAGAAAGAGGAGACTGAAGGAGCCTCGGTAACTCCCATTTCTCTTGCTGATCTCTTCCCCTGCTGTTTTCCCTTGCTCCCAATAGGAAAGACTTGTCAGGAAGGTGGCTGAGTGGATCTTTCAGCCAGCTGGTTCTTGGCATGAAGCCATGAGTTCAGACGATACCGTTCTCCTGGATTTCCTCTCTAACCCAGGCATGTGACACTTTTCTGTGGAGAGAAGCATTCGCAACCGATTCTCTCTTGGCAGGTTGGCTGGTACGTCACACTTCATGTCTGCAATGTCCCTGTCTCAGTGATGGAGAGCTTCAAAGAAGGGAAGCCCCTAGTCCTGTTCTCGCTGCTTCCCCACGAACAAAAGGTGACTAAGTATAGCCCTGCTGATATCTCGTGCGAGGTGTGCACCTCCTTGTCTGATTCCTTCAGGCTGCATGGGTTGGAGAGGTTCTGGCTGCAGGGGGTTTGGCTGAAATCTCCCTGCATTGCTCGCATTTCAAAGTAGGACCTTCCCTTTGGTCAGAGCAGGCTGAAGCTGCCAGGGGCATTTAGGCTAGAGCGTCTGAGCCTGGCCGAGGTGTCTGCCTTGGTGACCAGCAGTCCTTTGGGAAGCCATGGTCAAGGGCATTTGTCTTTGCTGCAATGTCCCACGGTTGTCTGCTCTGCCATCGCTGCCCAGCCCTGCCGTCAGCCCCTCACATCTGCCTCCCTTCCAGATGTCCGTGTTGAATTTCCTGGTGCGGCGGCATCCGAGCAACAGCGAGCCAGTGAGGGCGAAGGAGGAGCTGATCTTTCACTGTGGCTTCAGACGCTTCCGAGCATCCCCCCTGTTCTCCCAGCACACCTCGGGTTTGTGAGGGACCGGTGGGGTGGGCACGGGTATGCCAGGAGGTGGGGCTGGGGGCTGGAAGGCAGGAAGCCTGTGATGTCTTAGCCGTGGTGTCTGAACCTGGCTGAAGGACTCTTGTGAAGACTCACTCCTAGGCTCTGAGGCTTCCAGGGGAGGGCACTAAATAGTGAGAAGGGCTTGGGCGAGGTGGCTCGCTGGTCCAGGCAAGGCGGTGGCAGGCTCCGTGCAGTGAGCTGGGAGCTCAGAGGATCACCTTCGTTCCCAGATACTCTGTGCCAGCAGAGGAGGGGGGTTTTTCACCTGTTTCCCTAAAGCACGGAGCCTGTGTGCCAGGGAAGAATGGGCTCAGTGGGGTTTCCCAGAGCTCTGAGGAACTACTGTTGGCCTGAACTTGATCATTGCTGTTCTGTCCTAGCTGATAAGCACAAGCTGGAGCGTTTCCTACGCCCGGACGCTGCCCTGGTGGTGACTGTTTACGCTCCCATCACTTTCCCTCCGGCCTCAGTGCTTCTTTTTAAACAGAGAAGTAATGGTAAGTTGGGAAGTGCTGAGGAGGTGGTGTCTGGGAAACAAACGTTAGGAGGCCTTTTCCATACCCCACTTACAATGCACCTATCCAGAAATGATGACTTGGAAAAGCCGTCCCCTTCATGATCTTTGAGAAGATTAACACATTTCCATCCCCATTAGCACTGGCACTTTTGCCTGTCCCTGCTGGGGGGTTGCTCTGGGCCTGGAACCATTTGAGGAAGGAGGTTGTGGAGGAGGTGATGGAGGCACCTTCTGTGGTGCTTCCCTGGTGCATTAGTGACTCCGCCTTG